AAATAAGATGCTCTAGTAACATGTTTGTAAACTTTGCAAAGTCATGTCTGGAGAAAGCAAGAGCAGGTGTTAGCCTTGTTTATGACAGTGTCATCAACTCAAAAGTTTAAAAATTACAGATGTACTTTTAATCTGCTTGCCTAATTTATTTTGTTCAAAAATGTTGGGTTTAGATAACTTCCATGATCACAGGCTGTCACAAAGTGCTTTACAGCAGTCAGTTCAAACACTGCAAGATCCTACAGTAACAGTGTGATAATGACCAGATAATGTTATTCTGATGATGAGGCCTTGGTTTAATATCTGATTTGAAACACTGCATCTCTGAAATTAGAGCATGCACTGACTACTGTGTTGGAGATTTTTGTGTTTTACATCTTTTGGATGAGACTTGAACATACCATCCTCTGCTTTTGCTGGAAGTGCTACGAGGCTGTACTTGGCTGCACATTTCTGCAATTTTGAATTAGCAAACACAGCAAGAATTTAATGTGTTTAAAATTTGAATATAACACCTAGAAAAAGGGCCTTGACCCGAAATGTAAGCTTTCCTGCTCCTCTGCTACCTGGCCTGCCGTGTTCCTCCAGCTCCACACTGTGTTATCTATTTATAAGAGAAATTAGTCTTAATTTTTAATATCTGTTGCTTTTGTTCTGTTCTGAGTCAAATTAAATCTTTTTGTAGAGTCATACAAAGGTCACTTTGGTCCAGTCCATTGTGTAAGATTTAGCCCTGATGGAGAATTATATGCGAGTGGTTCTGAAGATGGAACTCTTCGTCTCTGGCAGACAACAGTTGGCAAAACATATGGGTTGTGGAAATGCGTGCTTCCTGGTAAGTACATTTTCACTTATTCTATTTAACCAATATGAGTCTTATTTCAGACTTTAAATCTTTAGCACTGTGCCTTTGTTCTATAGAATCTCTTAATTTTTTTGAGGGAACAGTTTAACTCGTGCTGAATGTGCAGGTCAGTCATCCTTGGGTGAAATACTTGCAATTAAACTGTCATTGTGGGGAACTGTCTGTATTTACACTTGTTTATTTGAATTACAGAGGAGCTCGCATCTGAAAACTCTGATTCAATCTATGGCACCCCTCCAGAGGTAAAAGCCTGAGATGTCAACTTGAGAAAAACAAACGAGCAACAATATGTGATGAACTGAATAAAAAGGAAGCTTCCAGTTTTATATGGTTACGGAAAATGCAGACCTGATAAATGAAACCATATCATTCATTTAAAAAGTTTCTAATTGTTTATAAGACAAGCACCTGGTGTCCTCAAGGAAGGAAAGTAGTAGACCTATGTATGTTCATTGCAGCTGCCTCCCATCTTGTAATGGTTTAATTGGGCCTGACTTGTAACATCTGTATATATTGTATCTTGACAGAAGTTTCTCATTGAGGAAGTGTGGTCGAGTTACAGCTATACTATAATAGATTCAAGTCTGTTTCCCTTAGAAAATAATCCATTTTTTCTTTTCCACTCCTAAGTTCAGTGATACTTCTATGGTTTAACAATAAAACCTTATTCAATATGTGTTGTCATTCTTTTCATTTTAAATGGTTTTCAATATGTCACAATTTCTTGGTGATTTATTTGTGCAAATGGCCCCTTGAGCAGTATTAAGCTGTCCCCCACACACACGTGTAAACATTAACAAACAGAAAATGCTTTACATTGTATTTATTACTCTTCAAATTTTGCATGTTTACAGCCTTTTTTTGCTGCTTTGTAACTCGATGCATGTTTGTTCAGAATTACATTGATCTGGATATGAGTGCTTATTGAAATAGATCTATTAATTATTTTTGCCATCAGTGGAAGAAATAGGCTGTGGTTGCAGCAATTATGTTAGGACTTTTATCTGCTCAGGAGCTATGTTATATTTTATGTATTAAACTGAACGTTGGCAATGTGGAATGATTCACTTTTGCAGCCAACTGTTTTGATTATATACAGCATTATAGGATCAATGAGTGTTTTATTAAGCTCTGGATATGTTTAATGCTGTAGCCCAATCGTGGGCTCACTGGAAACCTTTTTAAGTTACTGCCTGATCCTGATATACCTATTTCTTTCTTTTCCCAATTACAGCATTGGGTTATTATGCTCTTTTGAAAAATGTCTTGTGACACTTGTCTCCTGATTTAAAAAAAAATAAAAAATGGGTCAGGCTATGATGTATGCTTTTGTTTTGATCGAGCATATTGAAAAAATACACTTTAACGCAGACTTACAAGAAGCTGGTTTCTTAATTTAATAGCACGAGTACAAGTTGTTTAATTGTTTGAATTGCTAATCTTGGTGCAAATTCCTTGCTCACAGTCACATTGGCAGTCCTGAAAACTGTGACTTTAAGTGAATCATTGATTCCCATGAGAATCAATTTTAAAGTCAAGTTGGGGGTCCTTTTAACATTTATCACTCTAAAAACACTTACAAACTTATCATCTGCACAGCTTTGCATTCCCAACTGAAGTAACTTACAAGATAAAATACACCACAGATAAGATGAAAATGGTGTATAATGGATGGAAACTGTTTTTAAAAAAACTTTGTGGAGCAGTAGTTTTAGATTGGCTAGTCTCCACCTAGTGGCAAAGGTTAGTTGGTGCATGGAGAGCTGATGTTCCATGTGACAATACTATGTCTTTGAGGTGTATTTTGTCCTCCTGTTTTTTATGGAGAGGTTAAGACAGAGGTGAAAAGTGGTCTGTTAAAGCCAATAAAGTAAACAGCTTGTGAGGCCTTGGATTTTTTTTTTTCAAGTTGGAGCAATAGAAGCAGCCTGAATGAGTGAGGTCAAACTCCCACGGAACCAGGATTTTTAGTTCAGCTCTCAGTCGCAGTTGCTGAGATCTTCAAGTTGGACGTGGAAGTCGGTATTCCTCTTTCTATTACGGCTAAAAGCTGGGGTTCTCTTCCTCCTATTAGAATTGCATGTGAGACAATTATTTTACTGACTTTGCCTTTGTCAAGGGTGTGTTTATGGGATATTACTATATTGGAACAGTTCATTAATATTTTAAGGATTTTGATAGTTATAGTTAATCCAATTTTATGTTGTCTGTATTTTAACTATAATGTATGAATAAAGCATGTTTTGCTTCAAGCCTGATAGTTTGACCAATCAAATTGCACCTGGAATGCAATGACTGGTACTTGCCTTTAAAGTAAGATAAAGTTAAGATCTGGGCTCGCTCCTTGATCTGTTTCGAGGGGGTTTGGTCTGGTCCATAACATCCAAAACCACCTTTACTCTTACCATCTTCTAATAGATGGAGCCCAGGATTTCAGTATGAGTTTAGAAAAGGGAACAGACCCAAAGGACTAAAGTAAGAAATTGGGCTGGGATGCAAGGGTGTGGGGATTAGGAAGAAGAACCAGAGAAAATAGGACCAGGAGTAGGCCGTTTGGCTCATCAAGCCTGCTCCACCATTTGGTATGATCATGGCTGAACATTCAACTCCCTATTCCCACTGTCCCCGTACCCTTTGATCCCTTAGGGGTGCCTCTGGTCAGGACTGCTGTCTTTCAGCACCAGGGACCCAGGTTTAATTCCAGCCTCCGGTGACTGCGTGGGTTTGCTCAGGGTGCTCCAGTTTCCCCTCAAAATGTGCAGGTTAGGTGGATTGGCTGTGCTAAATTGCCGATAGTGTCGATAAGGATATATAGGATTACAGGGATTGCGGGGGTGGTGGGGCTGGGGTGTGAGTCTTGAGTCTGGGTGGGATGCTTTTCGGAGAGTCAATGTGGGCTTGTTGGGCCAAATGACCTGTTTCCACACTAGGAATTCTATTTATCAATGATCTACACTACTGCGCTTGAGGGTGCAGGTGGTGGGGGAAAGATGTATGTATGTAGGCCGCTGAAGAGGAAGTTTGTTCAATAATAGTGAAGCTGATTAAATGGATATATTGCCATACTTTGTTTCATTTTTACTCAGTAACATTAGGGGTGTTAATATAATGTGTTAACTGATTTATAAGTTCATTAGAAATCAGTATTTTGGCATGCCAGTAAGGGGGAGGGGTGTCCTCATATTGCTGACTTATTGATGCAACAGTTTCCAATTTCCCCTTCTCCTGTTTCCAAATCTCATTCGTGCAGGGAGATTGAGTGAAGCCTTGATTATCTACGTGAAAAAAAAATCTGTATCTCTAACTCTATTTAAAAAGAAAGTCTAATCCTGTTCCTTTTTACAAAGTTATCTTCGTTTTGGCCTTACCATAAACTAGAGAGAAAAAAAAATTGAGGGGAGAGATGACTAGCTTTGTGTCTGGAAATTCAAGATAACGTAACCCTCAAAAGATAGATTTCTTACAGCTTTGATGGTGCATGAGAGGAGATCATATGGCTGACTTTATTCTGTATTATATACAATTTAGTTTCAAGCTATTTGAGTGTTTTTAGTGCCAGAGCCTCGATCGGATGTGGGTTAATGAGCCGCTGCAGATGAAAATGAGTTCACTACATGACTGATTCCAGATAAGGCAATTAAATGGTCTGACACAAGAATAGTAACGTTTCAATACAGCTAAAATTTCCTATGGATAACTGACATCAATTGAGCATTAATTCCAAGGGTTTCATCTTTTGACACAAATGGTAGTTGAATTGCTTTTAAAAATTAGCCATCTGTAGATAGGGCAACAATATGGAGCGTTAGAGATTTGATGAGTAGTTTTGATAGGTTTTAAGATGTGATAAATAATACGTGGCTATATTGTTCCCAAACTAAGGAATTGAGCATGGATTATGTAACTCTTGAATTAAAATGGACTCAAATTTTTACAACTTTCTTTGAAACAAGGCAAGGTCATTATAGACTTATTGTCTTGCATACGTTGTTAGCAAACTGCTAGAATTGATTACTTTGATGTTTGAAACTATGTGTAAGTTGTCATATCTTGTTAAGTTGAACATTAGAATCTGCTCATTTTTTTGCCACTTATAAAAAAGTTTGGGAAGTGATGCAAAGAAAGACTGCATGAACACTTGCTGGTGTTAACTATGTGGAAGGACTGATTTAACTTTTCTATGTATCCAGACCCTGGTTTGTATGATGTGTCATTGCACCTGGTGAGTGAGTTCTAAAGTATGCACTCTATCCACACTGGATGTGATGGGCTCTACTCTAGTCCTGTTTGATGTGGGCACTTCCACAAAGGGAATCATCCAGACTGATTTTTCTGAAGGACAGAGCTAATTAGATGGCCTCTATTGTAATGGATAATCTGCCTGTAGCTAATAAGATGGGTTCAGGACTGAACAAATGAATAATGGATGTTGACCCATTGCTACTGAGGCTCCCAATGAGGAATAGTCCACTTGTGATTGGCTGGGCTGAGCACCTGAAGTTGATTGGCTGCATTCTGCCGGAAGTGACGACCAGACCGGAAGCTTTGTGTGTTGGACGGTATGGCGGCCCGGAATTGCGGTTGTTCCCTGGGTAAGGAATGGCCGTTGGTGGGAGCTGGGAAAGGGAGAGAGTGGAATGGTGAAGTGAAAGGGGGTGAGTTAGGGTCGTGTGTGTGTGACAGTGAACATGAAGCGGTGATGGTGAGCTCTCACTGATCCAGTAGCTGGTCTATTCCCAGGAAACTGAGCTCTGGATTTCGCCCTCACCTTGGGGTCAGAGTCTCTATTCGATCAGATTGGGGGCATAAGTGCAGCTCGGTCCAGAAATGGTCACCAGGGCCAAAGAGTAACGTTCGTCAAACTGTCAGATGCACAAACAAGAGATACTCAGCAAGTCTGGCAGCATCAGTGGGGAAACCATTACCTGTATTGGGCTGACCTTTTGAACGTTATGCCTTTTTTTTTCTCACCGCACATGTTGCCAAAGCTGCTGAGTGTTGCCGGCACCTCCTCATTTTATTTAAGTCGTCCAGTTTGTCTCTCACTTTGCCTTTTGTATTCTTGAAGCTGAAAAGGGGTATATAGCAAACCCGTGTCTTAAATAATATAAAAAAAACTTCTGCACAGTGTTTTGAGCTTTCATCTACAAATGGTTCAAATAGCGTGAATGGAAATCAATTGACTCCATTTGCAGCTCTTGGGCTTTGTTGATATTACTTCTTTATTGGTATTGGTTTAAAACAAACACTGTTATGACCAAATAATGTTTGCATATTGGCTGCTTTAATTCCTGTGTAACACTAGTGATTATAATTAGCTGTGTTCACGAAACATGCTGTGTAAATGCAAGTTTTTCTATCTTGCTTTCTGTTAATTATGTAAAATGGTGTGTGTGTAGTACTGTTGCACTGTAAATACACATTTGATCAAATCTCTGTTTAGAAGCTTAATAATGGGGAAGTAGCACAGCCATTTCATCATGAGCAGTGAGGTAATTCTGATCCGTTAAAAACTGATACATAATGTCCGAATAGAATGGGAAATCCTTTGCTGTGTGCAAATTATTAATTATAAATTGTGCTCTTTTCAAAGAGTCAAACTGAACATATGATCTATAGAACATGTAAATGTTACCATGAGATATAGAAGTAGGCCATTTGGTCAATTGAGTCTGTTCTGTCATTTGATGAGATCATGGCTGATTTGATAAATTTTCATTTTCAATTTCAATTTCCTGCTTTATGCTCAAAGCCCTGGATTTCCTTACTAGTTAACAATCTTTCTCTGAGGTTGTAATAAGATGATTCCATTTTGGGGCAGGGCCTTTAGGATAAAATGAAAGGAATCATGCTCTTAAAACTACCTAACACAATGTGGGTGATTTGATTGCTATAGATTAAAGGGGGTGCAGAATGTATTACTGCTAAGATGTAGAAAAGTGCTTACACTTGGAGATAGTGGCAGCAGTCTGTGCAAACCACGAATAGACTGTGGGAGTCCGCTCACTCTGTTCAGAATTTTGGATTGTAAAACAGTTGGACTTTTAAATTGTCTGTTTACTTCCAAATAAAAGAAAGTTGAAGATATGAGGATTGTGCAGTATTTTTTTACCAAAATACCTAAAGACCCAGGATGATCCGAATACACAAAACTGAACATACGAATTAGGAACAACACTAGACATTTGGCTCCTTGTGATTGCTGTCCAACTGGTTGATCTGATTGTTCCATATTCCATGAACCCTGATACCAGTTGTCAAGAATCTATCCAACTCTGCCTTTAAAATATTTAAGGACTGTGCTTCCACTGCCTTTTGAGACAGAGAATCCCAAAGCAACATGGTCTTTTGCAAGAAAACATTTCTCATTATCTCTTTCTTAAATGGACAGCTCCTTATTTATCAAACAGTAGTACCTAGTTGTAGATTTTCTCACGAGGAAACATCCTTTCCACGTGCATCTTGTTGAAAATGATCTTGTATGTTTCAATTAAGGTGCCCCAATTTCTTCTAAACTCCAGTGGGGTCAAGCCTACCCTGTCTAATCTTTCTTTACAAGACATTTGCCCATTCTAGTCATTTGTTTTATAAACCTTCTCTGAAATGCTTCAAATGCATTTACATAATTTGTTAAATAAGAATCCAAATGCTGTAACAGTACTCCCCAGGTGTTTTACATTTGCAATAGCAATGGGCAATAAGAGGTGAAGGGTCCAAGATATGTGAAAATTCTCAGACAAAAGTCATCTAGCTTGTGCTAGAACCTGAAGGACAATCCTCGCTGAAAGACTGTTCTGAGATTAAAAGGTCGCCAGGCTGAGAGAATAAGAGAAGTGAACCCTCATAAATTACGAGTAACCTAGGTCTGGTTCTAGGTGTTGTAAAGTTGGGTAGAGTACTTGTGAATTAGAAGGCAGGATGTAAAAACGATAAGGGGCAAGAGTTTTAAGAGGTGATGTGCTTTTCTAAGCTTGGAGATTCAAAAAAATGTCTGCAGGCAGCTGTGGATGCACAGTCAGTTCTGAAATTGAACCATATGTATCAGTTGGCTATGTGATTGGCAACCTAGGCTTGTTTTGATGTTAAGGCAACCAGCTTGAATACGAGCCATTAATTTAAACCAGGCCCTAGATACCAATTAAATTTAAATCTGCTCGTGTTGACAACCTCGGACCAATCCTACCATAAGAACATTGACAGGTCATCAAGGGTATACAAGAATAGGGTTTTCAGTGGGACAGCAAACTGCCATTGGAAGAATAACTGAATTCTTTCCATAGATGCTACTAGACCTGAGTTTTTCCAACAACTTCTGTTTTTGAGCCTGTTGTTTTAATTTGTTAGTTGTGCTGTTTTGTGTGAAGAGGGCAAGGGCAACATGTTTCATAGGAATCTTCCTAAACTGCTGTGAAGCCTCTTTCATCAAGTTGTTCTGATGATGCAATGGAATGCCGTCTAGTGTACATAAACAGCACTTCATAATTTCACTGTTCTCCAGTCTGAAAAGACAAAAAAGTGCCATTGAAAAATAAATTGTATAATACCTTGGGCGGTGGTTGGTGAGGGAACGGAGAATTCTTGGTTAATATTCAGCAGACATCATCTATGCACTGTTAAGTGTGCCTTATGATGGGGTTACAAAGTACCAGGTCTAAGCTAGATTCATAATGGATTTCATATGATCTCTGAAAATTTAAACCTTTAAGAAAATTTATTTTCTAACATTTGTAATTTTTGGTTTGTTTTAAATGTGGTTGCTCTGGCATGAAATGCATGAAAGAACAAATACATGTTTGCAAATCCTATTTCAAAATGACATTTCTGAGGATATTAAGTGGAAAGAAGGATAATAAAGAAGCAGATTGTGCAGGCATGGTCTGTAGCTTATACTACGATGTTCTTTTCATAAGCTGAACGGTAGAGGGTCAGTCAGTGACAAGGATTTTATGCAAAGTACATCCTATTTCACAAGGTGGTCTATTGCATTGCAGCCTGTGTGTCGACCATGTCCAATGTCCCCACGATGTTATGATTTATCTTAACTTTGATGTCAGCAGCATATATCCAAGTGTTACAGTCCTGAAATAATGCACATGAATTGAGTTAATTTTGAGAACAGAATTGTTGTAGGAACTGGTTAACACACAGTGAATCTTATTATGTTACACATATACAGAATTATCAATAGTACAAAAATGTTCAACCTTGAAGGGTGCTATTGGGAATTTGAGCTCGGCTTCCAGAATCTGAAGAAGTGTGAGAAAACATTGTATCTACGAAGGAATGTTAACGTTTTTGGAGAGGCGAGGAATTTTAGAGAAGCATAGTTATTGTACAGTTGCCAAAATAGTACAGTGTTTTTATGACATTTGTAAGCTGACACTACACATTGGTAATTTGGATATCCATTGACAACGGACATTTGGGCACAAACTAGGACTGTCATCAGCAGTGCAGTCTTGTAATGTACGTTCAACCTGTTAGGTTGAGGTGCAATTGCTTTCTTTCTTTTCAGATTTTTTTCTTCCAGATTCCAGACAGATTTTAGATTTTAGGTCAGTTCTGTGGTAACTGACAATAAAGCCCGTCCTCAAAATCTCATGATAGGTAGAGATGAGCGGGTTCATTTGGCCCACTTTAGCTTATCTATATAGAATACTCGCAGAATCTGAGTTCACTGAGATGCAAATAATGTATTGACACCCCTTATATTGAGAACACCCAGATTTGTTTCTCAAGCCTTTTCTGGGTCAGTTATTTACTCTTCTAATTTCAGAATTAGCAATTATTTTGTTTTGAAAGGCTGTAGATGCAACTTTCTTGCAAACTTGACAATCTGTTGTTTTAATAAAAACTGAATGTTGTAAATCAGAAACATAAACAAAACTTGCTGGAAAAGCTCAGCAGGTCTAGAAACATCTGTGGAGAGCAATCAGAATTAATGTTTCGGGTCGAGTGACCCTTCCTCAGAACTCTGGAGGGAAGGGTCACTCGACCCGAAACATTAACTCTGATTTCTCTTCACAGATGCTGCTAGACCTCCTGAGCTTTTCCAGCAATTTTTGTTTTTGAGCCTGTTGTTTTAATTTGTTAGTTGTGCCGTTTTGTGTGAAGAGGGCAAGGGCAACATGTTTCATGATTTGATTCTCCATTCAGATTTGGGCTGGGTATCCAGAGTCCATGTAAATCAACCTGCTGTTGTGAGACGTGCAGAGCAGCTACAGACAAGGCGGAATTTGTCCAAGGAATGGCAAGTAAGTAATTAACTTGACATACTTTTCTCACCAATTTTGTTAGTGAAATTGAAGCCCATGGTTTCAAAGGAGCATTGGTTGTGTGGATATGAAAATAGTTAAAAGGCAGAAAGAAGAGAGTAGCGTTGAAAGGTTTAGGACTGGACAGAAGTTTACTGTTGTATTTCCCTTGGTGGTTGCTTTCTGGACACTGCACTTAATGATATCCATCATTAACCTAGATTAGGCTAGAGAGCAGGGCTTTCTACATGGGGCCAGGACTCCAAGTTGGGCTGTGAGCTGAAATTTTGGTGTTGTAAGCTCCAAGGAGCAATGAACACTGTGGGACTCTCTGAGTTGGATCAATTACATTCCTAGTGTACTGACAAGTCCAACTTTGGCAGGACTGTCAACAGGTCTCACGCCATTTGCAGAGAGAGAAACAGTGTTAATGTTTTGATATAGCTGTTCGAAGTCATATTGGACTTGAAACAGAAACTCTGTTTCTGTCTCCAGAGATGCTACTGGATCTGCTGAGCTTCTTCAGAATTTTTTGTTTTTTTTTTCATATTTCTAACATCTGTAGTCCTTTGCTTTTAGAACAGGAGATCCTGTTTGAGATGCAAGTGGGGTATTTTTTAAATTTTCTCAGAGAATGCTAACATTGCTGGTCATGCCAGAATTTATTGCCCTTGAGAAGGTGATGCTAAGCCTCCGCCTTGAATCACTGCAGTCCATGTGGTGTGGGTACATCCACAGCGCTATTAGGAAGGGAGTTCTAGGATTTTGACCCAGTGTCAGTGAAGGAATCGTGATACAGTTGTAAGGCAAGATAGTGTATGGCTTGAAGAGGAACTGGAAAGTGATGGTTTTCCCATGCATCTGTTGCCCTTGTCCTTCTATGAGACAGGACTTGTGGATTTGGAAGGTGCTGTTAAAGCAGCGTTGGTGAGTTGTTACATATACTTTGTATACAGTACACACTGTTGCTACTTTACGTCAGTGATCGAAGGAGTGAAGGTGTATGTGGATGCCAATCAAGTGGGCTGCATTGACTTGGATCGAGTCAAACAACTCGAGTTTTGTTGGAACAGCACTCATCTAAGAGGAAGGTATTTCATCACATTACTGATTTATGGACAGGCTTTGGGAAGCTGGGAGTTGAGTCACTCACCACAGAGTTCCCAGCTTCTGACTTCCTTTTGTAGCTACAGTATTCACATGACTGGTCCAGTTCAATTTCTCGTCAGTGGTAACCCCCAGGATGTTAGGGGGTGATTCAAGAATGACATTGCCATTGAAAGTCAAGAGGAGATGGTTAAATTCTCTTGTAGATGGAGGTGGTCATTTCCTAGCAATTGTGTTACATGAATGTTACCTGCCACTTATCAACCCAAGCCTGAATGTTGCCCAGGTCTTGCTGCATATGAACATAAGCTGCTTCAGTATCTGAGTCATGAATGATGCTGAACATTATAGAAGCATCAGTGAACATCCCCATGTGTGACATTATGATGGAGGAAAAGCCACTGATGAAGTAGATGAAGATGGCTGGGGCAAGGAGCTACCTTGAGCAACTGCTGCAGCAATGTTTTAGGACAGAGATGACTGACCTTCAACAACCATAACCATCTTTCTTTGTGCTAGGTATGATTCCAACCAAGGGTGACTCTCATTCTTTTAGGACTCCTTGATGCCTCACTTGAACAAATGCAGTCTTGATGTCAAGGGCAGGCAGTCACTGTAACTTTGTTCCTCAAACATAGCTCTATTGTCCATTTTTGGACCAAGGCCAGAAGGAACAGAGGGGCCCTGATGGAACCCGAACTTACCATCAGTGAGCAAGTGCCACGTTATAGCACTGTTGACAAACGTGCTAGTGCTCACAAGATGATGCTGCAGCCTGTGGTCTATCATGTCAACTCTGTAAATTTATATATTTTAAATAACCCCTAAACATAATTTGACTCCAAAATATTTATGTCAGAAAAAAAATGGAAAGGCTCAAGAATGTCGTAGCAATGTGATAATTGCTATATCAATTCAGTTTCTTTCTTGAAGTGTAAATAATTAGCTTGCCATTAGACAGCAAGAAACAACAATTTATTCTGAGCTATAAGCAGGAGAGTTTTCCACCAGGCTGCACACTGTTTACCTTGAGTGCCGTTGCTGTAAATTACAACAATCATTTTCGTAAAATTCTCCCTCTTCCATGCAGAAAGTTTTGACTGAGTCAGCAAATCGAGTTTGACCCAGCATCGCATTTGACATAGGAGGCAATGAAATTTGGTGGAGCATTTTCAGAATAACTAGTTTAATAATGCTGTTCCGAAGGAGAGCTGTGCAGTTGAAAAATGTATACGCTGGTTCAACACCCTATAAACATGATGCACAGTAATTGAGCAGAAGTGCATCAGTATTTGATGAAGCACATTTGCAACAAATTCATTGAGAGTTTGAGGCTAAAGATTACCTGCTGGTTATTACTGATCATCCACCATCAACACCATTGAGAAGTATACAGGCTTTGGTTTCTTCCTTGCTTCTGCGAGGAAGAGTTTACTTGATTTTTACTTAAATTTTTTTTCAATTAAAACAGATATTTCAAATGTTTTGTTTTTTACAGTTAGTTTTAACTATATGTGTCAGCAAATTGCCAGTTATTTAGAAAGCCTAAGAATTTAGACAAATGAAGCAATCCCAGCTAAAGCAGAAAAAGTCTCAATAGTAGACTATTTAATAAATGCACTTTCTCCTTGCAAGTGAAACTCAGGTAAATTAACAATGGACTATGTAGTGTCTGTATGACATTGATAAATAGCAGGTGCCCTTCAAAATATAGCTGTTAACCACTGAAAGCTATGACATTTTAGGTGAAATTGACAAGTATATAGGGTTAGAACTGGTATCTTTGACCGAAAAACAAACACCAGAGCAGTCAAAATGGGTGAAATGGCCACCTCTGTTGTAATTTCTAAGTTTCTATCATAGTCTGCCTCTTTACCAAATATCCTTTGTGTTTGAAGGACCAGCTGATTCAGTTTCTTACATTCACATGCTCCCTCAGCTAGACTTTGTGATGGTAATTCCTTCTATAAACAGGCTTTTGCAAATAATTTGTTTGGCTTATTTCTGATTTACATTAATAAACTTGTGTTATTTTGGTACACTCTCAGTTATATTCAACGTCACTTTCGTCTGTCTTGTAAACAGATGGGTCAGAATTGATCTTTGAGAACCATGCCAGTCAAAAGGCCAAAGTTCAGTCCAATGGGTAGTTTTTATAATGCTTTATCACCAACTGCACCATGTTTGGAAGATTGGAATGCAATGGTTCACTGTTACAAAAACTTGTTTTAACTGTAGCTGTGACACCATCTTTAACATACTATGTTCACATTTAATAGTATAAATTGGAGACTGAGACAGAAAAGCATTAAAATGTTCTCTACATGTCATTCTCACCACATGGATGTTTCAGAAATGTGATACCTATATTTGTCAGAGAGAGGAATAGAGGCACTGATTACAGATAACTTCTGCCAGGATTCAGATCTGGAATGTAGCTGTCATCTCTGTTGTATTCCTGCCAGTTAAATCTTTTGGTGACAGTTGCGAATGTAGAATGTCTGTCTTAAGACAGAAAATGAATATTACAGTGCTGTTTCTTCTGGCAAATCATGGCAGCCTGATTTTTTGTTATTTCTACTGAATGTACTCCCCTTTACTTTCATAGGCTGCATGGTTGCTGAAAGCTGTCACCTGTATTGACCTCACCACGTTGTCTGGTGATGACACAACATCAAATGTTCAAAGACTCTGCTACAAAGCCAAGCACCCCATCAGAGAAGACCTGCTCAAGAATCTCAACATGGACAATAAAGGTAGCAGAACTCGTAATGGGGCTAATTTATATGTCTAACTGTACATCTATACATCATTAAGCAGCCATTTTCTCTTAAGAGTTTGCTTGCCTTTGGACACTAAGAGAGGTTTTATTTCCTGAAACTGGCCTTGGACTTGCATTGCTTTTCTCCAGGACTCAGTCTTACTAATGAATGAGCTCATCACTTCTCATCAGCATTCATTCTACCCTTTCCATTTCCCTGTTAACAAGTGATAGTTATTTGACACATATTAATGCTGAATAGTTGCCTGACATTTCATTTTAAAGTTTGTGATGTTGCAAATTTTTGTTGAAAAATACAGCTGCCTAGCAATTAATCATTGTTGTGTTTGCTTCAGTTGCAAAGGCCTTTACTGTAAACTCCCTTTAATATAAAGTATAATGAGGCATGGAGTGAAGATAAGCCATGAAGGAGCTTGAACTTTTTCCTTTCACACCATACAAACTACGCAATCTTGGACTCTGCTCACCTTGAGGGAAAGTTGTATAAAGTGATTCGTAATCCTCTTAAGTAATCAACTTCGTCTCCAGGCAATCGTGTGTTTAACTAAATCAGCCTACCTTTTCAACAGTGGCCTCACAAGAGAAAGATGTGGAAAATGATTGAAACTGAAATTCTTATCACAAGGAAGATATAGCTTTTTGCCTTCATAAATCACACATAAATTTGAATTTGCAGAGTGAGAGATACAAATAGATCTCAGTGTTCTAATCTTAGGATTTATCCAATAAATGGGGCAGCAAAACTAAGAACAGCCTTTAGAATTTTACAGTACTGTGAAATTCAAACATTGTCATTATCATCAGCTCTCCCTTGATTTGAGAATGACATCTACTCAAGATTATAAATTTTTGCTGTAATCCAAACAGTACACACTAAGGAAAGAGAAATACAAGTACAAATAGGATTGAGTTACTTGGACATTGAGGGCTTGCATAGGGTCGTAGAGACCAGATATCCTAAATTAATCTAGTCCCATTTGTTGCATTTGGCCTATATCCCTCTAAACCCTTCATGTTCATGTACCCATCCAGATGCCTTTTAAATGTTGTAATTCTACCCTCACCCGCCTCCACCATCTCCTCTGGCAGCTCATTCCACAAACACACCACCCTCTGCATGAAAATGTTGCCCCTCGGATCTCTCTTAAGTCTTTCACCCACCACCTTAAATCTATGCTGTCTCATTTTGGACTCCCCTACTCTGGGGGAAAAAGACCTTGGCTATTCATCCTATCCATGCCCCTCATGATTTTATAAACCTCTGTAAGGCCACCCCTCAGCCTCCGCCACTTCGGGGAAAATAGCCCCAGTCTATTCAGCCGTTCCCTATAGCTCGAATCTCCAACCCTGGAGACATCCTCGTGAATCTTTTCTGAACCCTTTCAAGTTTAACAGCATCTTTCCTATAACAGGGAGACCAGAATTAAATGTGGTACAGGTAGCTCTGCTATAATGCATGTTTCATTAACACGAATTGACTGTAACGTGCTTGATGAATAGTGGATGCTGTTTGGATAACACGAGCTTTCTGCTGTGCAGGTACAACAACTTTCTATAGCGATTTCCCTGTAGCACGATTTTCTGTAATGCAAGGTCACACAAGAATGCAGCTATCGTGTTATAGGAGAACTACCTGTATTCCAAAAGTGACCTAACCAATGTCTTGTACAACTGCAACATGACATCCCAACTCCTATACTCAATGCATTGGCCAATAAAGGCAAGTGTACCAAATGCCTTCTTCACTACCCTGTCAACCTGTGACTCTACTTTCAAGGGACTATGAACCTGTGCCCCAAGGTCTCTTTGCTTGGCAACACTCTCCAGGACCTTACCATTAAGTGTATAAGCCCAGCCCTGATTTGCCTTTCCAAAATACAGTTACTGTCAGAGTCTGTAGTCCAAATACTGTAGTCTGTATATCTGTGGCAAAATTGTTTTGATTAAAGTAGTTTGTAGAATTCAAAGAACCCTTCTCTTTTGACAGAAAATATTAATGTCATAGCTGTGGTGAATAGGATGTTGTTGGCGTTATTCTCATGGTATATATAGTATACACATTTAATCCTGTTCAAAGTATTCAAGAGTAAATAGCGATCTATGTTGTTTTGTAGGTATTACTACTGCTGCAGTGTGTGTTTACCCATCTCGGGTGTCTGATGCAGTACAAACATTGAAGAGTATAGAGTGTAATATCCCTGTTGCCTCAGGTATGAAAGTTTAAAACCTTTTTTGTTTGCAATGATAGTAAATTATGTTGAATTTTTAAAATAAATGCATTCAACAGATTTTTTGGCAGTGATTCTAATGAAAATTCTGATCTAGATTTTCTGATCGGTGTCATTTTAACTATGTCATGTTAATTGTTAAAATAATGACAAGTGGAAAATAAGAGCTTGTAGCTTTTGATATTAACAGTGAATCATAGTGTTCTGCTCAGCTTCCCACATCCACATTACTAAAACACTTTTTATCCTCTTGTGCAGCTGTTCACCTGCACCTGTATCTCTCACCTTCTGCCATTGAAATTCTCAATTCACTCTTCATTAGTTCATCTCGATTTATTCATTGCTTTCTTGTTTGGCCTCCTTGCATCAACTCTTCAAATGTTAATTTATCCAAATGTACTTCAGTGGAGGGCAAGAGCTGCATATGCTCCACATTTACATTAATCCACCCTTGTCCTCTTCCTGTTCCTCTAGATTTATTTGCCTAGCATGTTAATTTCAGTTTGGTTCTGTACAGAACATAGTAATCTCCTGCTACCATGTATGCTTGCATGTGTCCATAACACCGGACCTTTCCGGTCTTCTGCTCCACAGCCACTCAACTGTATTCCTGCCTTCTGCAACTCTGTACCTAGTTCTCCATTATTTTTGGAGCACTTAGATTCTTTGATTGTGACTTCAATTTCACGTTGGTCTCTTTGTGCCCTGATCTTTCTCCCATGGTTACATTTCATGGATGCCTTTTGTCTTTATATCACATCATGCTGCAAAACTTGTACATGAACACAGTAGAAATTCACTTTACTTCTTTGTCTCAATTCAGCTCAAATTATAACTTTGTTTTAATGTTTCAGTGGCAACTGGTTTTCCTGCTGGACAGACACCACTGGTGATACGTTTGCAAGAGATAAAAATGGCTGTTGCAGAAGGTGCTAGAGAAATTGACATTGTAATTAACAGAACCTTGGTGCTGAAAGGCCAGTGGGAAGGTAAGGGCTGTTTAACTGTCTGCAAGCAAGAATTATTTGGATGTTGTTTATATTTTGTTCAAAAATAAATTGTAGTGTGTACTGCTGTGACTACCTGCCTGCATTCTCTTTTGAACAGACTTCTCTCAAAATTACTGGTTCTTTTGCTTCTGTTATATAATATGTTTGTCATCACTGAGGCAAACTCCTTTGTTAAACTGAAAGAGTCTCCCCCTTTGGCGCAAAGCTTGTTACCAATCACTATGCATCAGACAATTGTGATTATTATACTTGTTCTAATAAGCACTGTGTAATTTCTTCATCCTAATCTAACTGGGGACTTTGATTAGAGTGCTTGCTCAGAAGCAGAAAAGGAAAGATTAGAAGTTAATTGTGTTACATTAGTTTATGTATTTGCGGAATTTGTCAATATTCTGTTGGACGCTTCAATGTGTCTCATACTTGGGTTAATTTTCATTTCTGCTGCAAAGTCTTTCCTACTTGATATTTACCATTCAACTTGGGAATGCACGTTCTTGGTTATGATCGTGAAACAGCCATTACAGTATGAGATTTTTGTTTTCTGTTTGAACAGAAGAAACTGTCATTTTAAAAAAAAAACTCAACTGGTTCGTTTCAGAGAAGGAAACCTGGGAAACGTAGTCAGTATGTGACTGCAGTCTCCCACCAACTTGTTTGACTCCTAACTATCCTGCTGTATTGCTCCAGCAAGCCGATTGGCTGAATGGGGAGGTGATGGCCTAGTGGTATTATCACTAGACTATTGATTTAGAGACCCTGGTAATTTTCTGGGGACCTGGGTTCAAATCCTGCCATCACAGATGATGAAATCTGAATTCAATAAATACGTGGAATTAGGAATCCAATGATGAGTATAAAATCATTATCAATTGTTGGAAAAATTCTCGTTCACCAATGTCCTTTAGGGAAGGCAACTGGTGGTCCTTACCTGATCTGACTGAGCTGTACCTCCACACCCACAGCAATATGGTTGGCACTTAACTGCCCTCTGGGTAATAGATGCTGGCCTGGCCAGAGATGCCCACATGCCATGAAGAAAAAAAAAACTCAAATTGAGTGTGTCAGTGTACCTTCACCGTAGGAACACAGCCAAGAGAGATGATGAGGGCAAATATCAGGGAGGGCAGAATGGGAAATTGCAAGCAGCTTACAGAGAGAGAATAGGGGAGTATATTTGACGTAGCATTTTGGGGAAAGTCGCGCTGATGTATCAAGGATAGGGCATTGAGAAAAATGGAAAAGCACATTCGCATATTGCAATTTTCTGTTTAAAGCTCTCAACATTTATTGTGTTTCTAGAGTTGTATAACGAGATTCAACAATGTCATGACGCTTGTGGGGAAGCCCATATGAAGACCATACTCGGAACAGGAGAATTGGGATCATTAACAAACGTCTACAAGGCTAGTCTTGTAGCTATGATGGCAGGTAACTTTTAACCTCTGTCTAGTGGAATCTCAAAGGTTTATATAAAACTCAATTGGTAGCACACTTGCTCTTGTGTGAAAATAGTGAGTTCAAGTCTGCTATTTAATGTAGTCACTCCAGTACAGTAAAGAGGGAGGGCCACGTTGGCAGAGATGTGAACTTCTTTATGGGGATTCAGTTAGGAGCAGTCTGGCTCTTCTCGTAAACAAGTATGGTGTTAAAAGTCTTGCACGTTCAATGAGAAACGAAAAAAAAACTGTCCATTTTACTGGCCAACAACTTGTTCTAGAATCAGATAATTCTGTTTCTGTGATCCTGCTGTGCACTAATTGGCTATACTGGACCTGACCATTTGTGTAGATCATTGAGACCTTTCTGTTTTTGGATATGCAGCTCCTTATTTCAATTGTTTTCATTTCACTGTTTTAGCCAAATTGCTCCAAGAATATGCACTCTTCTTCTCAAGAAGTACGTCATATTGAATTGAAGGAAGTACTGTCATATGATAGCAAATCATATGATCATGATTCTGATGTTCCCCTTTTACTAAATCTTAGTTTTAGCTGAACTTCTCAGTGTAACAAAGAGCTCTGCCATACAGAGTGAGAAAGAATAATCAAGCTGGTCTCGTATCTCTTAGCAACTTGCTAAATCCGCAGTGCCAGAGGCTCAGAGGATTTCTCATGTGTCTGACATTTTGCACAAAGAAAGGTGTGATTTAAATTTTTTTTAAAAAGGGTGATGAAGAATGTAGAGAAATTTACATGAGTAGTTTTGTCTAACGTTAGCATTAACGTGATTGCCTGATTAGGCAGGTTTGCGGAGTTCCAAGGTATCTTTTGTACATGGCCATTCAGCACATTGTGTCTGTGCTGGCTCTTTGAAAGCGATCCAGTGAGCCACACCTCCTTGCTCCTCTTGAAGCCTGCAAATTTTTTCTGTTCAACATTCTTATGAAAGCTATCATTGAATCTACTTCTACCACCATTTCAGGCTGCTCGTAGATCTTAACAAATATCTGCAGGAAACAAATCCCCTGTGGTTCATTTGTTGATTATCTTAAACCTGTGTCCTCTGCCTACTGACCCTCCACCCAGTAGAACCAGTTTATCCTTGCATGCTTTTTCAAAACCATACATAATTTTCAGCACCTCTACTAAGTCTAAAAAGAATTTAGAAAGTTTCCTTGTGAAATGTGTAACTTTAGTTGTGGAGAAATGTCCAAAATAGACAGATTGCGCTGCTCATAAAGGAAGACTGTAAACTGAAAGACAGTTAGCCAGTGCTGCACTTGTACGTCTTCAGTTAGGCTGGTCAGCTAAGAACTGTGTAAATTCATGAGTAAACGTAAAGAAAACAAATGGCTGTTTAAAAATATCTCCGTACCCACCGCTACTACAGCTTACGATGATTAGAGATCATAGAAATATAGAATACAAGAAGCAACCGTTCTGCACATCATGACTGTGCCAGCTTTCTAAAAGAAAAAGTGGGTTAGTCTCGATTCCTTGCCCCTCTGCATCCTATTTCCTTGTCTTCTTTTAAATAACTGTGTATGGAATAAACTCCAAAGAAAGTGGTGGATGCGAGTACCATTACAGCATTTAAAAGTCATTTGGATAAGTACGTGAATAAGAAATGTTTGGAGGGATATGGGCCAAGTGCAGGCAGGTGGGGTTAGTTTAGTCTGGGATTATGGTCAGCATGGACTGGTTGGACCGAAGGCTCTGCTTCTGTGCTGTGTGACTATGACTCATCCAATTCCTTATTTAAAAGCTATTTTGCATTCACTTTCCACTATTTCTTTTTGTAGGGTAATATTGAAATTTCTTTAACAGTACAGATTATCTAAACTGCTGGCAATCTTGGCATTCCATCTGAATCTGAAATGAGCATTAGACATCTTGTACCATCCATCAATAATATTCAATACATCATTGCAGTATCATCTATCTCTGCTCCTGAATCAGTCTATCCATTGCTGAAATTCCTATCTTTGGCAAAATCAGACTAGACTGTTCATAAACTAATCCCTATCTTGAAGAATCTCTTGGGGGTTTTCAATTGTGTCTTTCATCCTGTCCACCTTCTTTGCTTTCTCAATCTCCTGCAGCCCCTCACTGTTCCCTTCTGTCCTGCTTACATAAAATCCATCACACTTTGACCTTTCTTCAGTTCCAAAGGAAAGTCACATTGGACTGTGTTTAACTCTTTGTCATTACAGATACTGCCAGACCTGTTGAGTTTCTGTAGCACTTTCAGTTTTTATTTGTTCAAACATGAGGTTAATCAACCTATAGTCCTTCATAAACATCATCCTGTCCAATATCCTGCAGCTCCACAAGATGCCTCAGCTTTGCTGATTGACACTGACTCATTGTTTAAAGAGTAATGCAGGTCAAGGGCAGCAAATAGGTGGGAACACCATCAGTTCTAGGTTTTCCTCCAAGTCACACCATCCTGTCTTGGAAGCATATCACTGTTCTTTCACTGTTGTTGGGTGAAAATCCTGGAACTCCCTTCCTAACAACACTGTGGGTGGCCCTACACATTAAGGACTGCAGTAGTTTAAGGGGACAGCTCATTACGCATCTTCTTTGCGGGAATTAGGCCTGGGCAGTAAATTCTGGCCTAACCAGCAGCACCCAAATCCCATGAGTGAGTTTTTAAAAAGTACTGTGAATGCTAAAAATCTGAAATAAAATAGAAACTCTCATCTGTGAAAAGTGAAGCAGTTAATTTTTCAAGTCAGTCAGTTGTCTTTCATGTAAACTGGCAAAATTTAGAGATATAACAGTTTATGTTCAAGTACAAAGTGATTGATGAGCATGGGGATGTGGTGTGAGAAAGAAGAAAGGTTTGTAATATTTTGGAGTGCAGGAGTGATTTTAAAATCCACATGTTCTGCTGAACACTGAGATTCTCTGGTTCCAGTCTCTTGCTGTCCCCTCTCTCCCTTTGCCTTGCCATTGACAACCGATACTTCACTTGGTTCAGTCTTTTTCTTTAGCATCAATTTGTATTTGAAATGTGGCTATTACTAGCTAGGTCCCCACATCGGTCTTTTAAAAACTCTCATTCAGTATTTTTAGCAAACCTCTTGTCGCCTTTCTTAGTTAATTTCTGTCTCAGCATCTGTTTTCCCTATGCTGATCAGCAAAGCACATTGGTAGGTTTAAGGATGATGTTAAAATACAAATTCTTACTGAGATCCATGTACCAACAGCCTTAAGCATTGTAAACTCTCCTAAACTCATGCTTTGTTCTTCGTCTCATTTAATTTTACCTTCCGATTACTGACTATCCCACAATTGGAAATCGTTTTCAGCTTGTGCAAACCTCATAAAATTTCAAGAGTTTAGATCATAGACCATAGAGGTACGAACAGGAGAAGGCTGTCGAGCTTCTCAAGCCTGCTCCATCAAGTGAATAGGATCATAGCTGATCCAACATTCCTCATCCATTTTTCTGCATTTTCCACATAACCCTTGATTTCCCTTACTGATCAAGAATCTATCTGTCTCAGCCTTAAATATACACAAGAACTCTGCCCCCATAACTCTGTTGCAGGGAGCTCCAAAGACTGTCAATGCTCTGAAAGAAGAAGTTCTTCCTCATTTCAGTCTTTAACTGGTGCCCCTTAATTCTGAGACTGTGCTGTCTGGCCTTAAACACTGCATAAGGGAAAACATCCTCTCAGCTTTACTCAAGTCCCTTAAGAATTCTATATGTTTCAATGAGATCACCTCTAATTCTTCTAAACTTAAGTGAGTAGAGTCCCAACCTGTTTAGACTTTGCTGCATACCAGGGATCATCTTCGCAAACTTTTTTGGAACTGCCTCCAATGTAATAATCAGTAATAGGGTGGCTCAGTGGTTAATGTTACTGCCTCACAGCGCCAAGGACTCGGGTTTGATTTCAGCCTCGGGCAACTGTCTGTGTAGAGTTTGCACATTTTTCACATGTCTGCATGGGTTTCCTCCCACAGTTCAGAGTTGTTTAGGTTAGGTGGATTGGATATGTTAAATTGTCCACAGTGTCCAGGGAGGTGCGAGTTACGTGGATTAGCCATGGGAAAGGCAGGGTGCCACGGATAGGGCAGGGATTGGGATGGATCTGGGTAGGATGCTCTTCATAGTGTTGGCGGACTTGATGGACCAATTGGCCTGCTTCCACATTGTCGGGATTCTGTGATACCTTTCCTTAAATACGGGAACCAAAGCTGTTCACAGTACTTCAGATGAGGTCTCACCCTTATTCTCATTTGCTGTTTCTTGCCCATGAGCCAATTCTACATTTCCCAGCTGTCTTCATATCCAATATTCCAGTGAAAAAGACTCTGATATTCTAGTTTCCTCTTCATCTCTGATATTAATAAATCTCTCCTGTCGCCCAGTTCTGGCATTCATGCTAAAGTGCAGCACCCAAAATTCTGTATAGTTTTATTTTTAGCTGTGGCTTGACCAATTATTTATATAGGTTTAGAATTTGCCCTTTACTTCACACTGTGTAAGTTGTATTTTCACTTTGTAATTTAGAAGATCGATTGTTCCTTTTTAGCCGAAATGCCTTTTTCTTTTAAGTACGCTAGAATTTCAGTTGATTTGGATAATTGGAAGTCATTTTAATGCAACCCTTCATTTTTATTGGAGACAATAAGGACTGTGGATGCTGGAAGCTAGAGTCTATAGATGAGAAGCTGGAAAAGCACAGCAGGTCAGCCAGCATCAGAGGAGCAGGAAAGTCAATGTTTCAGACCAAAACTCTTCGTCCTTCATTTTCATGTTTGGATGAGTATTCCAGTTGTTCCTAGAGTGGAGGTGAAAGAGGAAATGTGTTCAAAATTGAGTGGTTTTGACAAGCTAAATAAAAATAGTGAATATTGGTCGGTGAGTTAGTAACTAGAGAACACTTTAACCACAAAGCTATTTCTGCCTACTTTATAGTGTGGCAATGCAGACCTGATTTTATACCTGAATGCCATGTAACTTTTCAGCAG